TCTGACTTGGGTTATTTATCAAATATTATTGACGTGAAAAGTCACCCGTTCGATATTCAACCATCACATTTGTCACATTAAAACTTGCTTATAAAGATATGTTCCAAATACGTTAATCTGTATCAGATAAACGCTCTTAAATATCAAAAGCCAGTGAGTATTTGTTTTAAGCCTTTATTAACCTTGATATACTACTGTTCGTATAAAGTCACACACAGTGATAAAAACAATGCGAGAGTATGTTAATATGATAATCAAAGGGTGATACTCTGCTACGATGACAATTGTATGTAAGGTCTCAACGCGTCGTTAAAAGTTGATCGGTAACGAAAAAGTGACATTTATTGTGATATAATAAAATTAACATAACGTACCTATGTAAGAAAAAACAATTATAACGACCTACATAGTGTCGTATTCCGGTAAGAAAAATAATGTATATATGTCAAAACAATCTTCTTTTTTAATACCAAATGTCTGGGAAACAATTATAGAAGCCAATGAATCAATCTAGAAGTTAAGTGGCCGAATTAAGCAGTTAATATATACATTGGGTTTCGTCTGCAATGAGAAGTCAACAAATGATAAACTTGCATGTGACTACAAAAAAGCGAAAACTTCGTATTTCTTCAACTCATCGTTTCTGACTAGTTTTGCAAACATTTTTTAAAGCACCCCAGCACATTATGGCTTACAAAAACGTAGGTGGGCAATAGTAGTTAGAATTGTGCTAAAAGTCAGATAACCCCGTGGATTGACAAATAAATAGTTAATCCTTTCGATTATTCGGTGTATTAAGGTACTTTCGGTGTGTTTTATATACTTTCGGTGTATTGTGTTTTCACGTTCATTCATTGTTATAAAAGTTATTGGGACACGAATTAGTGTATACTATACGACAGGTGGAAAACAAATTTGGAGATAATTAGACTACATTTAAAAAGATAATTTCGTCACGTTGGATTATTATGCAGTGGAATTGTTCTGTTATTTTGACCGAGTGGTTATTTATTCATTTTAGATTGTTTTTGGATTAATCATTCGATTAACTTGTAATGGAAGGATGTTAAAGATACTAGGGTAGGTTTAGTGAATGTTACTAGAACAATATAACATTTAAGAATAAGTTTGTAAAGACTTTTTGATTATCATCGCGTTTTGATCATCATTAACAAGAACATACAACCCTTTTGAAAGAGAATTTCATTTTGCGTATATATAATGTTTTTAAATTTATACGGATACTGTCCTTTTATGTTATACATTTACTTCAATTTTTCATACACGACACGTTTTAATTCTGTTGTCAGCAGAATAAAAGCGGTTTGGTCACATCATTTAACAATTTGACCTATTTCATGATTTAAGAAATTGGCCCGTTTCATTGAAACTTGAAATTTGTTTTTCTCTTTTTCACCTATTCAAATGTATACGTAATCTTTTGTTTATATTTTGTCCGTGTTTTTGTTCTGTCAAATGTCAAATGGTTTATTTCTTTATATTTTTTGACAAATTCCATTATAATTTGGCAAGCCGTCTGAAGAGGTGAGGAAACGCCGTATTACACGTGGTTAGCATTAAGCGTTGAAGATTATGCCATTATATAGAGGAAAATCCGCGTTTAATAAGGGAGCTTTAACGCGGATTAGTCTATAAATAAAAATAACTTTGTTGAAAATTTTCGTAACCAGATTTGCTTTTCTTTTACGATTATACATTGCGACGTAGTAAAAGCGAAATTGTTACACCAAACTTTAAAATGATACTTAAAATATAATGTTTCTCTTAAACAGTTTGGGTTAACAATATTGATTTGTTATCTTACTTATAAAACATCATTTTTTTATGATAAATCTACACATTTATTATATGGATCCTTGATGAGATCATGTAGAGGACCTATGTTTGTGCCTGGCACTGGTAGATATAACAAATTTGTGATTGATGTTTTTTTTAACAAAACAAACGCTGGGGCGCCTTTAACCTTTAGCTTAAACCCCAATATTTTTTTGAAAGTCGGTCATAATTGTTTGTTTTTGTTTTAAAGTCCTAGATTTATTAAGAACAAGTGGATTTTGAGAAGTTAAAGTATTGATAACGGTGTATAACCTACGGTGTATACATGGGTTTCATTGAAAAGTCAAACTGTGCAATATGATATAAATAATCCTTATTTTTCATAATTCAAGATAAAGATTTTCGCAAAGTGTGCAATAAGTACTGAAACTTTATAAATAAATACAACATTTTGCAAATAAAATGCATACGCAGACATACATTAACAGATATTAACGGATAAAATCAGGCAAACTCGCGTTGCTGTTGCACGTTTTTTAATATGCATAAATCAGCCTAGCTGACTGGTAATTTCACTGTAAGATTACATCGCACTTGTATACGACGAAATGCATGAACTTATTAAATACTTTTGCCCTGCGCACCCGGACCTTAAAAAATAAAAACAAAACAATAACAACAACGTTTTTACGTATTATTCTACATCAGTAAGTTATGATACTTTTGAATTGACAGGTTATAATTCTTCTGTAATTGCAAGTCATCAATAAAATGCTGAAAAATTCGATAAAAATGACACATTCCTTATTAAATGATATTATAATGAATGGTTGGCCACTGACATATGTTTAAAAGATAACCTGACACTTTTCTAGATATAGAAGATTATTGTCATTTATAATTAAGTTGATAAAGAATGCCAACGCTGCCAACTTGTGGCCAGTAACATGGTGACCTTGATAATGGAGGGAAAAAGGTCAAAAATATTTATTTGTCTTTAATAATTTACAAAATGTAAACATCGATTTGCTGTGGTAAATAATTGATTGAAATTAGGTCCAGTTTTTGTTATTTACATCGGATCTTTTGACTTTAAATGATGATTTATTGATGGTATGAAATTTATATCTTTTTTTGTTCGTTCCTTGTGCGCATTGCATTGCGCAACTTCCGGTTGTACAGGAAATCAATAAAGTGTGAATTCATCCGAGTACGAATACCATCAGTAAATTACTTGGTTCAGGTATTTAGATAATTCGATTATTAGGAAAATAATACCTTGAACATTATCGTTGTGCGGAGTTGATGCATGATATTTCAATGATATAGTCAGTCATAAGATTGAAAAAGCGGGACTTAAAGGCCCATTATGACCCAGAATGCTTTCAAATGCTTTTTACTTTTGGTATACTTTTATAGTTTCTAAAAATTTTCTCTTTGGCCAATGACCTGAACCATCTTTTTCTTCTGTTGCTTTTTTTGGCAATTAGTACAGATATAGTGATTAAGTATTTTGCACAGAAGTCAAAATACTACTTTGTTTACATTTTGTAACTTTTATGATAAATAATTTAACATTAAGCGTTTCTTTTTGAAGGTAATAAGCATCTATCATTCTCTAACACTATTATTTAAATGTTATAAAACACGTTTTTTTCCTTTCTGAAGAATTACAAATTTATTCATTTCTGAGACATTAAGTGTCTTTAAGTATAAACATATAATCATGACTGTATTGGATCATAGAATCACCAGCCGATAATGTGTCACATGATTGAGTTGTGATATAAGAAAAAGAATATGTCATAAAACATAACTATTTACCCTAAAAAACTAAGTTCATGTAGTGCATGTGTAATAAGAGATATACTGATTTATTTCACAAGAAATGAAAAAAATAAATAAAAAATGACTATATCTGTGATTTGTCACATGTTTCTCATCTATATTAACACCCATGTAAAGATTTACTCCCATTTTATTTCGATTTTACAAAGGAGACAATGGGTACTTTTCAAGTTTTGTCTATTCTTAATCCGTTAACTATATATTAACATTAATTCAAAGCCTTTTATGTGAATTCTTAATCAAAATCAAACGCGCACTCAGGGTTTCAATTTTTATTACTTATTTCTTAATGTAAATACAACACCATTAAAATAAACGCTGTATTGTTTGCATAGTAGAGCACTACATCGGGGACATTAAAGACTTTCAATGTTATTATAATTTTTAAAATAATGTTGATTTTATGACTTAAATATATATGCTAGAGTACCTGAGAAGTGCATTTAAGTTTAGCTTTTCTTTAGAGCGAAGATTTCAACGTTTGTACAACACCTGTAATTAGAGATTGATCGTGTATATATGAGGTATTCTGTAACAGTGAATCGACAAAGTATTTAAAGTTAAATCCCTCATGAGAGAAAAAAAACAACAAGTTTTGTCTTACTTACACCCACTATAAAAGCTAAAAACTGACAACGTATTAATTAAGTGGAGATGTATTCATTTTGAATCGCAATGAATGATAAATGCTAAAAGCTGGGTTCTTTTGAATGCTTATTTATTATGATATTTTTATATTGACAAGCGCAAAATATATAGCCATATAATGGTTATACTTTATAACAATGAAGTAAAAATAACGTCACGTTTCAACAATTAATCATACCTTAAAAAAACAATAAAAAAATAAATGGATATGTATCATAAAATGTAGTTTTACTACCTGACGTTCTTGCTTAGAGCTGAAAACAATACTTGCTGTAAAATGTAAAAAGTGTTCGTGTTACCTTTAGATAAAAAACAACAATCAAATAATAATAATAATAATAATAATAATAATAATAATAATAATAATGATAATAATAATAATAATAATAATAATAATAATAATATAATAATAATATAATGATAATAAAAACGCTAATTAAATAAATAAATAAATATATTAATCTTATTGACAATTGATTGTTTGATTATTTTATTGACTAACTGATTGATGATTTATTGATTGGTGATTGATTGATCGACCAGCCGATATATTGATTGATTGTTTGTATCTTTGTTTGTTTAATTATTTTGAGTAACTGATTTATGACTGATTGATGCTTAATTGATTGATGATTGATTGATTGATTTATTGTTTGTATCTTTGTTTATCAGGACACATATACAAGAGTTTAATTTTATTTTTCCAGGCGACTGATTCAGAAGAGGAATCGCTGCACGTCAGGGAAGAAAATGTTTCTGCCACCAGTTCTAGAAAGAATTTGAGCAAGTGAGTCCATTATCTTTGTCAACTAATTTGTCAGCTAATTTGTCAGCTAATTTGTTGAAGCTACAGTTAAAATCTACTATTCAACAAGAACAACAACAGCATTAGCAGCAACAGCAACAAAAACAACAATAGAAACAACAGCATTTTCTTGACATAAATGTTACAACATAATAGCTTTGTACATGAAATAATGTAAACAGTGGCCGGTATAACCCGGTTACAAGTTAGAGTCTGTAAGACGATCCATGCTCACACACAAGTGAATTATTTAAAGTTTGATTAAATATACCTATCAGCTTGATAATGATATCAGTCACGTTTGTGCATAATTAAGATAAATTTAATTTTAGGTATTTCTGCTTTTTTAAGGGGCGGGGGGGGACTTTTAACATGGTCAGTAAAATATTGCGCTTTCATTTTTTTAAGCAAGTACTTTTGTACAAATATGGATCTTTTCTGATAAAGTAAAATTAATTGAATAAAATATTCAATATTTTCATTAATGTGTACATATTTTATACTTTTTTTGCATCTATTTTCAGATATTTTCTCGTTCTACAAAACGGCATCAATATGGCGCTCAAGGTAGATCACTCTGCATTCCAAAATGGCGATTATGCCGACGAGAGTAGTCGTTCCTTTTTGCAAAACATTTCAATGTCGGATCTTGCCATCCCAGATCATGTCGGCTGGCTTATTGACCAGTCAGAACAAAACAAGGTTTGGGGCGTGGTTGTTGACATGTTATTTTGTGTATTTGAGTGCGAAGGCTCGGCAAAACCCCGGGAAGTTATACTTCTCCCGGGGTGCAACATTCGTCCGTTGGTATATAACACTGCAATAAATGGTTTAAACACTAACACGTCCTCCCAAACTATTACGGGTATATCTAAATACCAATTTGTTATTGACGATTCTAGTACAGGGCGAAAACACGTGTTTGGTACAGAATCTCAAAATGACCTTGACACATGGTTTAGAGTTCTGAAAAAAGCTTCCGCACTTGATCCGGAAATAACTAATGACATTTCTACCTCAAATGGTGATGAAGATGTTAAATCAAAGTACAGACGATTTTCTTTTGACGGGGTTTTGCCCAAGATGGGTTATACTCCATCTCAGGATTCTACGAGACGTTCTCAGCGCATGCGCAGCCCACGTGATCCTCACGAGAAACTTGAAACGAATGGATTTTCGGACGATACGTCCATTGCGTTGAGTTCATACGGGGTTGAGGCATCGACAAACGGAAATCAACCAAGTCCTCGCTCTGGATTAGTTCGGAACGATTCAAGAAGACAGTCAATATCAGATTTTAAGAAACGGTTACGTCAGGAAACAAAACCGGAAGTTTCAAAACAGCTTCCGGTTAAAGCAACGCATTTCAAACAGCAGACTCAGGAAAATAACACGCAAGCACCGCAAAACGGTAAAAAGTTGAAATCATTCGGAAGTTTTGAAAGTCTTTTGAAGTTCAAACGGAAAAAGCGAAAACAATCAGAAGATTCTCTTTCAAATGACGATGTTGGAAGTATTGTAAGTGAGTCATCTACGGATCAAGAAATGATGAGTAGGTCAGTCGACATCAGCGCGAACGTTTCCAAACTGCAAAAAACAAAGAAGTTATCAAGATCATTAGAATATAATGAACCTAAAAATGGAGTTAACAATGGTCTTGTTCGTCGAGCATCTGATATAAAAGACCGGATGTTTAACAGAAGACCCTCCAAACCTTTTGCAAAGCTTGGAGACTTGCATGATACCAGCATGCATGGTTTTCTTCTGCATAAACACCATTTAAAGTGGCAAAAGCTCTGGTGTGTCGTCTGCAGAGGTTGTTTCTATGGCTTCAAATCAAATTCACCAGACGAGAATGCCCACGTCTCGGTGTTGTTATCCAGCTGTGGTGTGGTGTTTGTTTCAAAGCAGGACAAGAAACAAAAACATTTGTACGTATTCAAAATTACTCAGGAAAAGTCGAAAAGCATTTATCTTTGTTCTACGGATTACAATGACCTTATGAAATGGCTTACCGTATTACAAATGGAATCAAACAGTGTTATCTCAAACGCGGACAAAATCAGTAAATCTTCAGAAAGTGAGAATGATAGCATTTGTTCATCATTGTCTAGTCAGAGTGGTTCCGTGTTAACGGTGTCATCAGGCGAACAACCGTCTGCTGCAGAAAACTCGAGGTCAAGGGCGAAAAAGAAGAAAAAACCGCCCGCTAAACCTCCCCGAAAATTTCGAAATTCGTCATGCCCGCCTTCCGTTGCTAGGGAGTCTGGGACATCAACAGGGGAGGATACTCTGACATCCGGAAGTATCAGTTCTGGGAATGAAAACACTACCTATGGCTCAACAGGTAAAACATTGATTTATAATATCCCCTTGCAAATCTACATAAATATGTAAAAAGGCATTCTTTCTAACATTTCAAATACTATCACAGTGTGTCTTTTCTTTTTAAGGTCTTTGGTCTCACTCTGCGCAAGAAAGCAAGTAACATATATTGTAGAGGAGGCAATACACAGTTTTCAAGGCTTCTCGGCTAACCTCCCACGCCACCAACACTAAAACCAAACCCACAAGTAGTTAATCACAAACCTGAAACAAATGCATTTTATATTTAACATATGTAAAATATAGTAACTATAAATATTTAGAACCTCAAATATCCACTTCATTTTCAAAACTGTCTCTTATTTGTAAATTCCAATTCCCTGGCCAATTCGAAACTAAATGACCGAAACTGTGTACTGCCTCCAGAGGATATTGACAAACCTTTAAATATAAGGGAAGCAACTCGTTAAAAGATAGAGTCTTGTTCATTATTCGATTACCGTTCCTTATTTTTAGACTTACTCGTTTTTGCAGAAGAGCTGCCTCGCTACGATCGTGCTGTAACGCACGTTTGGCAAAATGACCGAGGATATCTATTTAATGCTATACGAGCCAAGTTGACAGCCTACAGGAAAAAAGATGGCAACATATACAACAAAGATTTGCCTGGAGTCAGTAGCGAGGGACTGATAGTTGAACAAGACGGGGCCAGTGCATCTGTAAGTAACATTTGAGAAAACACACGCTTTGTCTAATGTATGCTTGATTGAAAAAGACATATTCACCATCATAATAAGTTCTAGATTTTATAAAATAACCGTTTTTCCAGACTCAATTAAACCGAGCGAGCAATATTTTCAGACGACCTTTAAGATTCATACTTTACTTATTTAAAGAACTCTTCTACCACGCTATATTTTCATAATGGGCTTGCCCCTTTTGAATCTGGAACAGTTCATTATCAATTTCTCATTAAAAAATACCTCAATGTAATTTACTAAAATGCAAAGTGTTTAAGTTTTGTGGGGAAAAAAACCCCCAAAAAACAACAACAAACAACATGAACATGTTCTGACAATGTTGTTATGTTATGATCGAACAGGAAGTACTTTATAATTATATTTGCCAAGTGAAAAAGTGTGCCAAAAGACTGAATTCTTCCTAACAATAAAGTAAGAACAATAAATTAGAGGCCCTGACATAGATAAATTGTTTTTTTATTTGAGAAAGGTGGTTTTAATTGGAGAGGACAAGTTCATATTGGAAACAAAAACAACGAATAAAAAAATAAAAAACATAATAATTATACCCCCCCCCCCCTAAAAATAAAAAAAAAACACCAACAAAACAACAGCAACAAAAAACAAAACAAACAAATCATCATCATCATCATCACCAACACCCCACAACAACAACAACCACAACCTACAAAGTAGCATACACTCCGTCACATATTAAATGTGTTTCTTAAGATTTACAATTTTGAAGTTATTTGTTTGAAATTTATTATCTGTCTTTCATAGCGAAACGTCACAGTAACGTGAAACGTCACAGTAACGATCTTGACGTGAGTGTACCGCCAGCACTGTATTCTGTAATACTTAAAATGTATTATCGTGACTATTTCAATATCATGTTATGTGCACAGTTCTTTATAATATGTTGTACATTACTTTTTCATTTGCGTAAAAAATAACATGATAGGCTTACGCAGTGAACTGTCGAGTTAATAGCTCGAAATGTTTGTAAACTCACGCGGGGAAAAGGTGACTCACAATTTGTTGTTTCAAATCTCAAGTTCATCCCAGGTTACCGCCGATCATTTTCAGTTTAAAAGTTTAATCAAATCACCCCATTTTCTGGAAGTATGGCCAAGGGATCAATACATTTCTATCCTGTATCTAAATTGTCTTTGTAATTTAAATATTGATCTGAAATGAGCAATGATTGCTTTTTAATAACATTTATATTGTAAAGTTCTGCACGTTGTGGGTGTGTTATGCCTTTGAAATGTCAGGATAGAAAATGAAGCGCACGTACATTATTGATTTAATAAACTATTTCTTGTTAAATTAAACGGACTTCATGACTCGTAACGAAGTGGGGTCTTCAATTTGAAAAACAAAATGAACTTGTGAATTACTCATTCAGAGTGATTTGAGAACATCATAATTGAGCCGTGTCACGACAAAACCAACATAATGGGTTTGCGACCAGCATGGATCCAGACCAGCCTGCGCATCCGCGCAGTCTGATCAAGATCCATGCTGTTCGCTTACAAACCCTATAGCAAGTAATGAAACTGATAGCAAACAGCATTGATCCTGATCAGACTGCGCGGATGCGCAGGCTGGTCTTGATCCATGCTGGTCGCAAACCCATTATATTGGTTTTGTCGTGACACGGCTCAATTATAAAGTTAAACGTAGATGAACGATATTAGTTGTCAAGGAGCTTTCTTAGTATTGAATACCATTGCATGTGGTTTAGTGATAAAACTGCTTGACGACAACGTTCGATCTCCCGCTTAAGCATTTAAGATAACTTATTTTTTTCTTCGAGACTTTGCACCTAGGTCTCATAAATTGTAATCTATACCTAAGTACGCCCAAGAACCAGTACAGCTTTTGGAAACGGAAAATGGAGAATTTCTTTGCTCTTTGTTTGTATTCTCCCGAGTAAAATTTGAGTTGACTTTTTAGACAAAACACAGTTGTTCAATAATCTAAACACATGTCTTCTGTTATATGAAAAATATTTGTTAGTAAAGAATCCAATGAAATAATGAAAGTCAAATCTAAATTGGCAAAGAAAATGTATGAAATGCTACTATTTTTATACTGCTTTTTCACACTTTTTCTTGAAGGTTAAAAATGAAACATAAGAAAAAACGACCAGCTGTAATTTTTCAATCAGTCGTACCGGCGCATACATCATTTAATTTTGGCATTACTTTACTTTGACGATACTGTTAGAAGAAACATGGCTTTTTGTTAATTATTTTCTGACGATTATCACGGAATAATCACCGACTTTTACACACAAACCAGACGTTGTTGATATTCAACGCATCGGTCAGTTTATTTCTGTTAGGATAATAGAACGCTTGGTGTAAAATGGTGTTTAGGAAAAGTTATAAACAATTATTATAGATCGGCAATCATATACCTGAAGGCAATCCGACATAAACTTCAATTTAGATTATGTCTATTTATATATCCCGCTCTTCAAATTAAAAGCATTTTAAAGATAAGATTTTACCGTGACGGGGCGTGCACTAATTATCTATCACTGTTAGCGAGAGTGTACCGGGTGTAAGTGTTTGCATTCGTTATGAACTATAAATAACAATAAAACATTCACTCTTTATCAAAGTTATCATGGTACCCCGTGAAGGGGATTCTTCACTGTTTAGAATCATGAACTCAAATAGCAACGCATTATTTGGAGATTCCTAGCCTATTTTCTTAGTTTAGGACAATATTCTACTGTAAAAACAATTAGAAGGCCAACTTTAACAAGTAAATAAAATTTCTCATTGACATTAACTCTAGCATAGGAAATTAATGTTTAAACAGAAAATAGTGAAAAATGGTCGTAAATCTTTCTTGCATTCTTTACATGTCAGAAAATACATGCATTCATATTAGCCTTAACATCTAACATGAAACATTCAAACATTAGCCACCCACTCATTGTAACAGCCTACATACTGTCTTCTCTATGTAGCGCATCCAGCACTGTGATTATTCTTATCCAAATGTGAGGCCTGCGATAAAGAAGTAGCGAAAATCAAGATTTTGGGGATTTCATGCATGCATGTTTGAGAAATTGATAAGAAATTATGTTGTTCGTGAACATGCATTTAGCGCTGCTTTGGATATCTAAATCCCCGTGATTTGTGAGCCGTATTTAAATCAATTTACCTTTTTTTGGAAACGGCACAATTGTGAACTAAATTTATTAGAATTACCACTGGAAATTGTTGTGGGAAAATTTTGTTGGTGAAATATCAGTGTGTTCGTAGCTTTTGAAACAAGGAACATATTGCGGACTTATGTACCCAGGTAGGGATTTCTTTTCTATATCTATTATCAAAAACATTTCCCATCATGTTACAATAAACTTCTTTTTTAAATATAAAAGAAAATTTTTTTTTTATTATTATAGCATTGATTTTTAGAAAAAATCCCCTTATATTTTTTGTGAAGGAAACGTTTACATTCCGGTCTTCTTATATAATATAACAGTTCTTTTATAGATAAATAACCCATACATTAATTTTACGGGGAAACGTTTACAATAAATACGAAGAAATGAAATATTATCTTTCAGATATATCTTATAGATATGAAGAATATTCATATTTTGATTAAAGGGAGTAAACTAAGGTTTTTTGATGTGACAGGACTGGAAATATTAGTTCGAGATTAATGTTCCATTTGTGGGTCCAAACCAATAACTTGTGTGCAAAATTTCAGACCATTCGCTTACTCCGTTTTTCCAGAGTAATTATTCTTATTGTAAAAATATGTCCCAAAATTGAAAAGCATTGCAATGTTTTTTCTCTCAGATCGGACTAACACTTGCACAAATACGACTTTCAATTTATTTTTGAGTTTATTCTAAATTATCTTTTACATTTCTTTCTAGCTTATCTAAGTAAAAAAATCGAATTTTATGTTTTTAGGCTTTTGCGACCTCAGTGGAGTTCCTTTAAAATGATAAAATATTAGGTTCAGACATATCATATAATAATTTGTCTTTGATTCATGTTTCACTGTTTAAAGATACGTCGTATGTTATTATTATAGCGATGCTTGTTATGCAGTAGATTAAAAAATCTAAATCTAGAAATAAACCCTCAAAGTGATCAAGAAATTCTAAAATTTTATTGAATGCATGTTGTTTTATATTGTTGAAGTAGTTTTATTTTCTAAGAAACGAATACGAGTCTAATTAAATTTTATGAGCGCCAAGAAGATGCAGTGTATGTTTTATATGTATGGGATAATAAAAGTTTATTAGAATGATAAGATTTTGATATTATATAAAATTTTAATTGAAATAAAATGTTAATGATCTAATAAGACATTTTAATATTTAGCTTATTTTGTAAATATGATGTTAAAATTACTGGTAATATCATATATTTATAAAGGTTGTTTAATTTTCAAAAATATATCTTTTGCAGTATCTGACATTTGCACGTGCACACGTTGACAGTCACGTGACTGTTTATTCTCTAACGTCTATTGGGGGAAGGTTAAATGCCAGGTCATAGTGTGGGTGTCTTATTGATGTTTAACAGATGATCTACCTCGAGATTGTTATTATTTTATCATTTCCGTTTAGAAAAGCTTTAAACAGAAGCTCAAAATGTCTGGTTTGGTTTTCATTCAATGATTCTTATTATTGACGTAATGTTGTTTTCAACTTTGACTTCGGATGAATTATTTTAATATAATTATTGATTATGATAATGAGCTAATATAAATAGATACATTTTTGTTTTGTTTTATTTACGAGAATTTGATCTTCCTGCTTACATTTACAATATATTTAGATATATGAAAGATTTATGCAATTTTCTTCTCTCTTGTGTTCAGGTATTGGATTTACAGGCATTCTTTCTTTCTGGTTAGAAACAAAGAATTACACTTTCACTAACAGCCAAACTTTTTCACACTCATTAACGCTACCAGAGATGTACCATTAA